TTCTGGGTTACTAGTGAGGTTGCCAGAGGAGGAGCGAATCCGGATAGGTTTAGTGAGTTGGTCGAGCCTACGAAGTGAGAGGGCCAGGAATGTATTGGGTTTATTTGCCCTAGTATAATATTTATGTCTAGATCTACGGAGAGAGAGTTCCGCTTGATCTGTGAGAAAAAGATCTAGAGCCAATCTAGATCGCTCCAAGGCTACACGATTGGCGGGCGTAGCAGCCGCCTGAAAAGTTTGATGGGAACGATCATAGGTTTGCTCCAGTAAGAGACGTTGTTGCCTTTTGGTTTTATTTAAAAAGGATGCTTTGCTAATGCAGAACCCTCTCAATACTGGTTTATGCGCTTCCCATAACAGGAGAGGGGATATATCAGGAGACTGGTTAAGAGTGAAGTAGTCTTTTAGGGCTGCTTCAATTTCTAAACAGTGAGCTGGGTTTGCGAGCAGGTTATCTTTAATGATCCAAGAGGATTCGGTGGGAGATGGGGCTAACGAGGCCATAGCCGTGAATACGGCGCAATGGTCAGTCCAAGGGATTGGAATTATTTCAGAGGCCAGAAGCCGAGGGGAAGAGGCAATAGTAATGAAAATATGGTCTATCCTGGAGAATGACTGGTGAGGATGAGAATAAAAGGTGTAGTGGCGTTTCGTCGGGTTGAGTTCCCGCCATGTGTCTATCAAAGAATAACGTTGTAGTATAGCTTGGAAGGTCTGTTTAGAGGTAGGGATGGGGGATGGTTGAGGAGATTTGTCAAGAAAGGGATATATTACACTGTTAGAGTCTCCGCTAATAATTAGAGTTCCGCGTTTATGGTGATCTATAACCGAGATTAAGTGGGAGAGGAATGGTAAGGGGTCTTGGTTTGGGGCGTAATATACTACAATGGTAACATCTATGTCCAGGAGTTGCCCTACTAATAGGAGGTAACGACACTCCGGGTCTTTGATTTCGGTGCATAGTGTGAAAGGTGTTGTGCGGTGGAAGGCTATTAGTACCCCCCTGCGCTTGGTGGTGGCAGAAGTTGTATAGACCTGAGTATATCGAGGACCAAAAAACTTAGGAGTGGAGTTGGGAGTGAAATGCGTTTCCTGTAGACAGACCACGTGAGCTTTAAGTGTAGCAAAGGTTCGGAAGGCCTTATTCTGTTTCTGTGGAATATTGAGACCCTGTACATTCAGGGTGAGGATATTTAACAAGCCCATGGATAGAGTGCAAAGCGGTTTGTATAGCGTGGCACTCCCACTCGGGGTGTAGCCTGACGCTTACTGCAGGGGATGAGAGTGTTACGAAGCTCGTTGTGCGAAGTCATGGAGTCATGTTGGAAGGAAGGAGGAGGGGGTACGGTATGAGAAAGGTAACAGGTAAGTAGGGGTGTAGAAGGCCATTCGTGGCCTGAAAGGTGGGTTCCCTAAGGACACCCTGAATCAGGGTTGGCCAGGGAACAACGATAGCCCAAGTGTTATTAAATAACCAATAACACAGGGGCTAGGGTGGAGTGTGCAGGTATGCGGACCGTGAGGGTGACAGCTGCATATTTAATAAATGGTGGCTAGGTCCCGGTAGAAAAAAAAAAAGCTGGTGCATAAAAAAGAATATTCAGGAAAATCAGGGGTCCTAGACTCAGGCGGCACTAGTAGTACTAGTTGGATAACGTTGGTGTAAGGGTATGGTATCTCATACCGCCAGAACCCAGGATCCCAAATATAAACTACAGTGGAGCTCAGGAGGGGGGGTGTAGAACAATCCCCAGATATTGGGGCAACCAAAATTTAACAGGTAAAGGAAAAGTAGATAACTACGGTGGTAACCGCCATGGTGATAACCAAACAAGTACACCTTACGATGCATGTGGCGAAAAAAAAGGAAAAAGAAAAATAAGCATGGAATATTGTTCAGTCCATGGTATCTTGCGAAGGTAGGCCCGGAGACGAAAAACGTCCCCGCTTGTGGAAATTGAGTTGATCTTCAACTGCACGTGTGGAGAGGGACTTCTGCGGCGAGCAAAGATGTGGACCTCCGCTTGGCGCTTTCTGAAGACGTCGCTGGGGAATGTAGTTGCAGGATCCGCAGGGTGTCTAACAGGTCTTCTGGAGTCTTGCAGGTGTAATCTCGGGATTGGTATCGGAAAAGCACTGCGAAGGGGAAGCTCCACCTATACTGTATAGCGTGGTGTTGGAGTACTTGTAGGTGGGGTTTCATTGCCCTGCGCTTGGAGATGGTTGTGGGGCATATATCCTGGAACAATTGGTAGGTATGACCTTGGAACTGTAGAGATTCTGCATTACGGGCGGCCTGCAGGAGTTGCTCCCTGGTACGGAAAAAGTGGAGCTTGGCTATAATATCACATGGTGGACCATCCGCGCGTCATGGTGCTAACGCCCTGTGAACTATCCAATTCTAATCTGTCGATTGGGATAGCTGGAGCAAGCTCTTGGAACAGAGCTGTTATCGTTGATTGGACATCAACAATCGTTTCTGGAAGGCCACGGATACACAGGTTTGAGCGCCGTGCTCGGTTTTCAAAGTCCTCCAGTCGTGTTAATAATGTTGCGTTTTCGTCACGCAGAAGATTAAGGTCATCCGTAAGCGTCTGAAGCGAAGCATCAAGACCATCTACCCTTTGTTCTAGGTCCGCAGTGCGCTGTCCTAGCTCACGGATTTCTCTAGAAAGTGTGGCAGTGATGCGGTCCGAGGTTTGCTTCAAAGCTTTGTGTAGCATTTTTTCAAATCGTGATAAAAGGTCAGGAGGTGTAAGGTCAGGCGTCAGGGCTTGTGCAGGGGACATCTGTCTCATTGTCGGACTCACCCTCAGACGTGCAGGGATGGCTGGGCTGTGGATCCTGCAGGGCTGCATATGCCCCTGCTGCTTGCTTGCTTCCACGTGCTGGAGCGGCGGCCATCTTTATGGAGGCCTTTGCCAAGGCCTCTTTAATAGTTTTGGTCGATGGGGGGACCTGATGCCGGGGTGCCCCTTTAACCATTTTGCTGTTTGTTAAGGGGGGGGGGGCTGTTATACTGTGCTCAGCCCCCCCTGCTCTCTCTCTCTTCACCGCAACCACGGTATGCTGTGTGCAGCGGTGGGCGGGCTTATGGCTGTCAGATTTCCACGGCCAGACGCTGAAGATCCGCCTCAGACCCGGGCGGATCGGACCCCAGGGTGGTTGCCATGGGGATCGGATCCCCCTTGAGTGATTGCGGGCTGGGACCCGCTGCTGTAATGCGCCGTCACCCGACGGGGAGACGGAGCCTCATGGGGACATGTCCGTCCCGCCGGCCGAGCATGCGCACTCCTATTCTATTCTTTTCTATTCTTTTCTTTCTATTCTATTCTTTACTATTCCATTCCTTTATTTTCTATTCTATTTTAGTCTATTCTTTTATTTTCTATTCTATTCTGTTCTGTTTTACTCTATTATTTTCTATTCTATTCTGTTTTATTGTATTCCATTCTTTTTGAAATTTGAATTTCAGAAGATGGCTATATTCTTTCTATTTTATTTTTTTTCCATTCTTCTCTTTTCTTTTTCTATTCTATTCTTTTATATTCTATTCTTTCAGATTTCAATTTCAGAACACGACTATATTCTGTTTTATTCTGTTTTATATTTTTCCATTCTTTTATTTTATTTGTATATTCTATTCTTTTCTATTCTATTCCCTACTAGTCTATTCTTTTATTTTCTATTCTGTTCTATTTTACTCTATCCTTTTCTATTCTATTCTGTTTTACTCTATCCTTTTCTATTCTATTCTGTTTTATTCTGTTCTATTCTTTTTGAAATTAGAATTTCAGAAGATTTCCATTCTTCTCTTTTTCTTTTTCTATTCTATTCTTTTATATTCTATTCTGTTCTGTTTTACGCTATTATTTTCAATTCTATTTTATCTTTTTCTATTCTTTTCCAGATTTGAATTTCAAAAGATGACTATATTCTGTTTTATTCTATTTTAATTTTTTCCATTCTTTTATTTTATTTTTAGATTCTATTCTATTCTTTACTATTCTATTCCTTTATTTTATATTCTATTTTATTCTATTCTTGTATTTTCTATTCTATTCTGTTATGTTTTACTGTATTTTCTATTATTATTTGATTTTCTATTCTATTCTTTTATATTCCATAATGTTCCTTTATTTCTATTCTTTTCTATTCCAATCCATTCAATTTTTTTCTGTTGTTTTCTATCATATTCCTTTATTTTCTACTCTATTCTCTTTTATTCTGTTGTTTGTTTGTTTGCTATGACTTTTTGTATTCTATTCAGTTCTGTTTTACTGTATTCCTTACTATTATTATTTTATTTTTTCTATGCTATTCTTTTCTCTTCTATGTCATAATGTTCCTTTCTTTTCTATTCTATTCCAATCTATTCTATTTTTTTCTGTTCTTTTCTATTCTATTCCTTTATTTTCTATTCTATTCCTTTATTTTCTACTCTGTTTTGTTCTATTTGGTCTATTCTTTTCGAAATTCGAATTTTAGAAGAAGGCTATATTCTAACACTAATACACATAGGAAGTCAGCAATATTCAGTATTATGTTTATATTTTTCGAATTTGGCTCTCTGTATAGAACACAAAAAAAACCCCGGCCTACAGTCACATCACCCACATCAGTGCTATAAGAATTATGGACAGGAAAACAGTTTTAGGGACCAGGGGCGGACTGACAACTCATGGGGCCCCTGGGCAAAGGGGATCATGGGGCCCCTGTGTCCTTGCCCAAACTCAAAAAAGCCAATGAAAAAGGTACCAGGGGCATCTCATGGGGTCCCCTACTGACCCCGGGCCCTCGGGCAGTGCCCGAGCTTCCAAATGATAAGTCCGCCCCTGTTAGGGACACAACAAAATCATTTTGTGTCGACAGACATTTATGTTTTTCTTGAGTGTCCAAGCCCTTAGTAATCATAGTTCAACTTTTAGACTCTTTGTACTTTTCTGATCACTGAAGATAGGTACAAAACAACAGCAATTCGGGAAAAGAGGGCAAAGATTGGTTAAGAGGGAACAGCATTTCTCTACCAGATTCCAGAAGATGTCTGCCATCTTTTCTCGGTTCTGCACAATGCACCAGATGAGAAGATCCCTCACAGGGTCGTCCAACTGCTGCTCATTTTTGGGTTTCATAGTTTCTACTTTCGTAGTCACCTGAGGATACAAAATTCATATCAGATTCATATCGTTGCTCTTTTCCTTTTTTACACCATTGCAGGTCATCAAGAGTAAAGATTGTCCTAAGTTACTTCTAGCACTCAACAAAAGTGGTCAATATCATGTCACCTTCCTGTTCTATTTACTTTCATCCAATCAACTCCAAACAATCTTAAGAAGTAGTGGGTAAGAATATTAGGAGGAGATGAAACAGAGAAAATGGCAAAAGATAATACACAAATTAAAGATTCTAACTCTGCCAGTTGGATGTTTGTACCACCTTCATGACGGATGGCCTGTTTCAGAACTTAAAGCTACAGAGAAACAAAAGTTAGACAAGTTTGAGAGGAATACCAACAAATGGATACAAGAAATGGAGAGTTTTCATGGCTTTAAGTACCATCTCTATGCTGATGACACACAAATCTATCTTTCTACCCCTCACCTCACCCTCACCCCTTCAGTCTCCTCTCACATTACTAACCTACTAAGTGACATATTGGCATGGATGTCACTCCACTTCCTCAAGCGCAATCCTTCCAAAACTGGGCTCTTAGTATTCCCCCAGCCCGTGCCCCCTCCCCCGACTTCTCCATCAAGATCAATAACAGAATCATCAGTCCCTTCCCCCACGCCAGGGGTACTAGGTGTAATCCTAGACTCCCATCTGTCCTTTCAGTCCCAAATCCAATCACTGTCCAAATCTTGTAGACTTCACCTCCACAACATCTCCAAGATACGCCCGTTCCTAACCTCGGAAACCACTAAGCAACTCATTCACTCCCTTGTTATATCTCACCTTGACTATTGTAACTCCCTCCACATTGGCCGACCTCATCGCAGGCTATCCCCTCTTTAGTCTATCATGAATGCTGCTGCCAGACTCATCCACCTTACTAACTGTTCCATATCTGCCATTCCTGATAGGTGGCACTGACTGGCATTGATAGGTGGCTCTGACTGGCACTGATGGGTGACACTGAAAGGCAGCTCAGATGGGCACTGATATGTGGCACTGATGTGCACTGGTAGGCACTGGCAAGTGGCAATGATGAGCACTGACAGCTGGCATTGATGGACACTGACAGGTGGCACTGCTGGGGTTACACTGATCATCAGTGCACACCGATCATCAGTGCTCTGATGATCAGTGTACATGTCCCCTCTTCGTAAAGCCGATTACCGGCTCTCCTCTTCTCTCGAGCTGTCAGAGTGACAGCTCATGAGCAGAGAAATGCCGATAACTGGCATTTCCCTATTTACATGCGATCAGCTGTGATTGGACACAGCTGATCACATGACCGAGGCGACATCTTCGGCTCTTTCCATTGATTGGTGATCCGTTGTGTCTGAGGGACACAGAGCACAACCAATCGCCATGCTGTGCGCCCCTGGAGCCGCGCATGCGCGTTTAGAATGGGAGGACATCATATGATGTCCTCCCAGAATTAAAGAACCACCTTGCGCCCATCATTTCCTTATATGGTGGGCGGGAGACGGTTAACATATATTTCAAATATATTTTTTCTTCCATGTGGGAAATGCCACATTGCTCACCTCGATTTTGACTTCTTCCAGGTTCTGTTTATGATTGGCTTCTGGGTACAAGGGTTCTAATAGGTCTCCCAGAAGATCCTGTAGGACATGGGAGACATGATGAAGTTCTATTTTATATACATTCTTTGGATTCTTTGGTGTGACTTGTCTCTCAAGTTTGCTGTGAATCAAACTGGATGGTTCTGTATTATTGTACAAGGAGGTGAGAGTGTCCCTGGTGAGGTACTCTGCCAGACTGACTCCACGCTCCAGGAACAGGCGCACAAATGACGGTTTGTCTTCAATAAGTGACTGTGTCAAGCTGGGATACAGATCAGATGGCTAGAAGACAAGCAAGAAGCTTTAAATTGAAAAATGAACATCAGCAAATAAGACAGCAATACTTCACAGCAGGGGCGTACTGACAACTCATGGGGCCCCCAGGCAATAGGGGATCATGGGGCCACTGTGTCCTCACCCACATTCAAACCACACCCAAAAAAGCCTATTAAAGGTTCTAGGGGCATCTCATGGGACCCCTTACTGACTCTGGGCCCTCGGTCAGTCTGCCCCTGCTTCACAGATTCTGTTGCAGCATACTAAATGTACAACTTAACCAAGTTAAAATATAGGTTCACACCTCTCATATCAGAATATAATGCAGAGCTGACAAACCACAACATAATATGTCACCATATTCAAAATGAGGGAAAGAGGGCAATGAACAGGGATTAAGTGACAACAAAGAATAAACGACCTTCCAGGTCCAGCCTTCAGTGAAGATCTGAGTCTCAGCAATCTCTGGCCGGTTCCAGGACACGGCAAGCTTCAGCTGATGGTTCCAGTTCTCCTGGCTATTGGGATAAGCATTGTGAGAGGCTGAAAGACAGATATCAGTGGTCATTATTATGTTGTTTTATTACTTCTATGAAGACTTTATTTATCAGATTATCATAATATTTCTGTGTCACTTTGTTTATTTTCCAGCTTCTCTATACCTTAACTAGTAACACTGGTTGGGGTAGGGAATGAATCAGTATCTCATGACCTCCCTGGCAAAGGTTTCCAGCTAGTTGGTTGTCCCCCTAGGGGTACTTTGCGTAAAAAATTGATGGCGCTATATAAGTACCTGAAATAAATAAATAACTAAAATGAAAAAAAAAAACTGGGAAAAGATACACTTTAATGTGCAAGTCCGGTGCCCGCAAAATATCTAATGTAAAGAGGAAATTTTCTCTGTAACCAAGCCTCAGAGAAATGTTTTGTCTGCTGGTATCAATCTCTGACCTTTCAGCAAAGCTTGCAGGATTGCCACATCCATCCCTTGATCTCCAACCTTCTCCTCCCGGAGGATGGTGAGCAGAGACTCCATGCGGACAATATCTTGAATCTATGGAGAAATTCGGAGACACCTATGAATATCTGCAGTGGGATTAAGCATATGTTTTAGCCAAAGACTGTCACTCTTTTAGTCACTGAGAACTACTAAAGGCATAAAACTAGAACCTGTAGGAAATGTAGCTTTTTTTAAAAAATTTAAATATTTACTACGTTTCCAGATAAAATACATATTCCATCATTTTCTCATAAGACATACAAAACCATTATTTATATCCCTTTCTATAACTATTCCCCCCCCCCCCATACTACCCACCCTGCATTTCTCCACGTCTGCCCTACAAAAGTAAGAGGCACTTTCACATATCACACCCTAAAGCTTCATATATTTCGCCTTCAGTACAAATTTTTCCCATTTTTTTTTCCATTTCACATAGTATAACCCCATCTTGTCTTCCTGCATATGATACACTTTCTCCATCCTACAAATCTGGTTCACTCTATCTACCCAATCCTCTTCCTTCGGCACCTCTGTCTTACGCCAAAACTTGGGTATCAAACCTTTTGCTGCGCTTAGATAGTAGCATATACCCCATTCCTTGTATTTGTTTACTGATAACGCTGTGCTATGTAATAGACAAATCTCTGGATCCAATCCCATATTCATCTCAGTAATCATCCCAATTAAATGAACTATTGTCTTCCAAAATACTTGAATTTTTGGACACTCCCACCATATGTGATATGACGTGTCTATTTCTCCACATCTCCACCAACACCCCGGTGAGTTCTCCCCACCCCACTCATCTTATGTTCAACAATCGGTGTAATGTGCCATCTTATCAAACACTTGTAATTTATTTCCACCTCCCGCATACTTATATTCTCGTGAATTAATCTATATACTGTATTTTCTTCTGTTTACCTCTTCTATCACAACCCCCAAATCTCTTTCCCATTTTGCTATATACATTGGCTTTGTGTCTAATTCAGTGGGAATCTTATATATTTTAGCAGTGCCGTGTTTCCCATCTCCCCGTGACTCCAACAACCTCTCAAACAAATTCCAATCCTTTCTAGATCTCAAAGGTTTCGGAAGATTCCCAACAAAGTGTTTTTGTCCAATTGGTGATACCTCCTCCACTCATCTATATTAGTGAAAATGTCTCCTTTTTCCTTTTCCAAATCCTTAAGTGATCTCAATCCCCCCCCCCCCCCCCCCTACCCACCACCACAAATTCCATATATCTCTCAACTGGACATCCTCCTTCTTAAACCATTTTCCTATAATCTCGTCCCTAGGAAATGTAGTTTAATATTTATTTTGAAAGTAAACACTAGACTAGAGGTGACCATGGTATTGCACATGGCTGACCTTTGTAAAAGGTGTTAGACAGTATATATAGAAGATGTAAAAAACTGGAGATATCTAGGTATTGAGTGACCATCAAACACAAACCAAAAACCCTTGCGCTGAATGCGTACTCAAATAAAATGTCTAAATAATCTCATTAAAGTGATAATAAACAAATAATGACCACTGCTGCCATCTTAAATGAAATAACTATACTTAGGTGAACATAAATAATCCAGTGGTGCTGTGGCCAACTAATGCGTGAAACACATTCTCCAGTGATAAAATATAATAAAAAAAAATGAAATATACATGACCATGATATCTCGTGTAGAGTAAGGAGATTTATGAAGTCTATAAAGTTAACATATAGTCCAACTCTTAGTCAGCGTCTCCTTGTCAAGAAAACCCAATAGTGCTGATGTCTTCTATTAGAAATGTCCTCTTTCTTTCTTTCTTTCACAAGTGATAAACTCCTCTTCCTCCACTTAATACCCTCAAAGAAATATAAATCACATATAGTGCATTATCCAAAATGCATGATATCCCCTCAAAGGGTCACAAAGCTTAATGCAAGTAGATAATCCTCAGCCAGATGGATCTCAGTGATGAAACACACGAAAGCTCCTCTCCATGGCATCCACAGCAATCAGTGATTATCTCCTTGCATTTACACTTTGTGACCCCTTGAGGGTCGCAGTTTGAAGATAGGATACAGGGGTATTTAAGTGGGCGCAATTCCGACATGCACAGCCTCAAAAGAAGTTGGAAGTGACAAAGTGCGTCAGGACGTGACATCAGACGTAAACCGGAAGTTACGGAGCGGCAATTTTGGAAAATGTTTACCATTGGAATTTATGCTGAGACACCTTGCTTGCTTGTAAGAACAATTTATCATTAAAGAGAGATATCCCGAAACTTCCGGTTCCGGCGCCGGATGCTGTGATACGCGGGTCCCGCGGCTCCCGGGATCCCGGCTTTATAAAGCCCGCTGATAGCCTCGGGGACCCCGCCTTTCAGTCCTCGGGTGTCCCCCACCCTCTGGCAGTGGCCCTGGCATGGAGCGGTACCTTTTGCCGGCGCAGTCCGGTCACGAGTCGGTGGCCAGAGCGGAGGGATGCGGCTCTCCCCCTCCTGCAGCCAAGATGGCCGACGATGCCTGTCACGGCATGGACACAGGCAAGGAGCGGGATCACACTCTGGGAGCAGGCCTGTTAGAGTCTCCCTCCCATCTCCTCACTGCCTTTTCATTCCCCTGTGGCACTGACTGCCTAAATGAGCAGTATAACAAGATATCACAGGCAGTGTCGGCTATCTTGCTCCCTAATATCACCCAGGCTGTAGATAGAGCAGTCACATTGGGCATTGAACAGCTGAGAAAAGATCTAAGCGATCATTCTAAACGATTATCTGAGGCTGAACAGCGCTTATCTGATTTAGAAGATGAAGTCCATTCCATGCAAGCGGTTACATCACAATCTAATAGTATACAGCAAAGTATTTTGGATAAAATCGAAGATCTGGAAAATCGATAACTTACGCATTGTGGGTCTTTCCAGAATCTTTTAATACCGGATCTCTCCTTGACCTATGCTCTGCACGGATCCCGGCGGCACTAGGCCTTTCTTCCTCCTGCCAGGTCGAGAGAGCTCATCGCCTGGGGCCTCCGTCTACCGAGCGCCGAACGCCACGTTCAGTGATTGTCCGCTATCTAAATTATGCTGACCCGCGTAGCGATCCTCACTTCTTTTCGCAACTCACGGTCTTTGCAGATTGAGGGTCACAAATTGCTGCTATTTGCGGATTACTCGCAGGAAGTGTTGTGCAAACGGAAAGCATTTCAACAAGTATGTGCTAGTCTTTATCAGAAAGGAATAAAGTTCACATTGGCATATCCGGCCACTTTACGATTCACTGCACCATCTGGGGTCTCCAAGTCTTTTGTTCATCCTGAAGAAGCCCACCAATATCTCCGAGATCACCTAGCCGAAGGGGATCCGGCGACGCAGCCTGCGGGCAGAAATTGTGGTCCCAGAGATCAACGCAGTCTTCGTAAAGACCCACCTAAACGTCAACGCATTATTTCATCTTCCTCTAAAGCTCGTCTGCCTTGAAGACCTATGAGGCCATTGGTCTCAGCATAAAAGCTTCAAGCTTTTTCTTCGATCCGATGGGCTCAGACGAAAGAGCTTTTCTATTTTTCATTATTTCCTTGAGTGGTACCTTTTAATTTACTGAAATGCTCCTACATTTTAAAGTTTGAGCCTTTTCGGTTGTTCAGCTCTAATTGTTTAAGTATTATCTGTTTGGCACAGGGCCCTTGCTCTGCCATTTATTTCGATGTCATGTTTTATTTACAAATATGCCTGAATTTAACTTCCTCTTTCCCGCACATGCCTTGCTCCTTACATCAGCGGGGCTGCGGGGGGTGGGGTGCTGGAGTCGCTGTCGGGGGTACGTTTGAGGGACGCCCTCACGTATCTCAACAATTGTAACTAGGTCCCTGGGGCTAGCTTCTATTATTACCACTCCCGGTCACGCTGACGTTGGTGGTTACAGCATGCGGAATGACGTGAAGTCCTTTATACTGTTATTGTATATTATATGTTTTGAATCTTTGTTGGGCCTTACTAGGGCCCTTGCTACTGCCTTTACTCTCTCTCCTCTTTTTTTCCCCTCCACTTTCACCTTTACCTCTTTGGAGATCTCCGTCGTCTACTGAGACCAGATTTACACCACTCCCATCTGCCTAATGAAGCAGCGCTAATTGTTGATACACTTCTAATTGGTAAGTCCCTTATCTTTTTATCACACACTTCACTTCAGCTAGAATGACACGTATTTTTTCCTGGAATGTTAAAGGCCTCAGGTCCCCTCACAAACGCATGGCAGTATTAAGACATCTGCGGCGCTTACGCGCGGATATAGCTCTACTCCAAGAGACACATCTCACACAACCTGACTTTGTCCGTATGTGAAAACTCTGGGCGTCTCACGCCTTCGGCTCCTCCTCCATTAATAATAAAGCAGGGGTACTTATTCTTATCCACAAGCGACTTAATCCTGAATTGGTCTCTATGGAGGCGGACACCGAGGGCCGCTTCGTAGCTATACATGTCAAATTAGGCTCTCAGGAATTGGCTGTTGCCAACATATATGCACCCAACTCCCCGACAAGGCAGGTGTTTCAGGGCCTGTCTTCACGGCTGGCACCCTATATTCATAAGCCGCTTGTCATGGGAGGTGACTTTAATTCTGTTATGCAGGAGCAGGAGGATATATCGCAGAGTGTTGACCAAGATTCTCGCTCCACCCAACCTCCCCGTCCAATGCCCACTTTACTTGGTAGTTTCGTAGAAGCAATGCAACTTACTGATATATGGCGTTTGACCCATCCGGACGGTAGAGATTACACTTTTTACTCTCCCATTCACCATTCCTTATCTCGAATCGATTATATTTTTGGCAACCCCATTACACTGCAACATGTGGTGTCATCTACCATACACGATATAGCCATATCGGATCACGCCCCAATTTCTATTACTATAAATCTTCTAGATCCTACACCACACCCTAGGATATGGCGCTTCCCCTCGTTTTTGGCGAACAATCAGGAGCTTTCCCGACAGTTACAACACACCTGGGCAGACTTCCAAATTAATAATGCGGCTCATGTCACCAATACAAATTTATAT